CTTGTTCTGATTCTGATTCAGTGCATGATCACGTGCAGGAAGTGAGCCTTTGTTCATGTCGTGCTTCTGATCCAAGTTCAATGAACACAAAGTTTGTATTTCTTGCTGTATATCTAATTTTTTCACGTTTCTAGAAGGGCATTTATTTCTGTTGTGCTGCAATGGCGCCTTCCTAAAGATGTAAATGACCCATTTTTTGCTGCACTTTGTCTCCCCCCCCCCCCACACACACACACAGTCCCAGAACGAGCACGTCAGAAGAAAGAAGGAAAGATGTTCTTGTTCATGTGTGTGTGTGTTATCAGACAGCCCGTGGGTCTCTGTTCGCCTGCTTCAGAGCCACAGGCCTTATCAGAAACAGCCCCGCCTCGACAGAGTCGGCCGCTCCCGCTCACATCTTGCGGCTGAGGCCCCCGAGGCAAGCCGCAACAAGCCAGGGGCCCCTACCGAGGGGCCCCGTTGTCTCCACCAGCACACTTTGATTTGAGAACTCAAGGCGCTCCCTGAGCTCATTGTGACTGCGCTAACAGCCTCTCCTCAAAAGAGACTGAACGTGTGTTCATTAATTATCTGAATCCTTGTTAATTGGATTAATTGTTGAATAGAAACCGTGTTATTAAAAATGACGAAAACACAAGGGCAGGGGGAGCAAAAGGGAGGGATTAATATTGTTTCCGTTTACTCTCCGGCTGTCAGAAGACAAGGAGCGGGCAAACACACATTCAGGTAAGCTTTGCTCTGCCACATTTCTTTTACTAGCTTTTTGTTTTTCCTTTTTACCACAAATCCCAAAACACACACACATTCGCAGAAACTCCATGTGACCCAACTCAGAAGAGTGAGCACTAAGCAAGGTGCAAATTACCACGCTCGCTGTTCGTGATAAGAACTAAAGCCCTTTTTCAAAGCTCAAAATAAATGCCAGATTCTGTTTGATGCGAGGAGACTGTAACTTTTCCATCGCTTGCAGTCAAAGAGGAAAGAAGGGAAGAAAAAGAAACATAAAGTCAACACCGTGGACAATTTAGTTATCTCCAAGTCCCATGTTAAACTGGGTTTCTCGTTCCCTCTGCCTATCTGCTAAGTCTTATCCACTGAAATCACTTATCAGAGTTTGACTTGAAGGGCTGTTTTATCAGGCAGCTCTGAGATTGAACGGTGATACTGCCGACCATTTGGACGACAGGACTCATTTCACATGTCATCTGTAGTTAGAAGTGGCGTAAATGAGTTCCTTTGATGCTAAAACTGAGCTTTTATTACCCCATTGACACAACATGCTGAAAGTCCAACTCAAGACACTTTAAGCGTTATTATTTTAAAGTCACAACAAATAGAACCGGGTTTAAAACATGAAGAAGAAAAAAAATCATAAAATACCAAAACAAACTGAGCAAATGTGTTTAAACTTTTGCTAAATGAGAGGCTCCTAATTGTAATTAGTTATCAGACAGTTATGAAACACAATATCAAAATGTGCCGACATCATCAAAACGTGGGTGGAAAAGGCGAAACACCAACACCTGCATGCACCCTCATTTGCCCTGCTCTGGGCCCTTGAGCAAGGCACTTAACCCCCACCATCTGTTCCCCTGGTCGCCCTAGATCAGGGATCTGCAACTTTACTGATATGTTTACATTTTAAGACAAAAGAAAAGACCAGAATATTGTAAAGAAGGCTTTTAGTATATAATTTTTTTAGCCAATTTTTTTAAAAGAATGCAGGTCTAGTGATTTTTTTTTTTAAATGTGGAAAAATTAAGTGTCCTACTTTAAAGAAAAAAGTTAAAGTGAGCATGTTTTTCTCTTTGTATTAGTTCTAGTATGCACACATTTGCCAAAGAAACGACACAGAACTGTTAAAACTAGCAGTGGCTTGTTGGTTTTTGTCAAAGTTTGAACGAGCCGCTGCAGAGGAACCAAAGGGCCGAAGGTGGCACCAGAGCCGTAGGTTGCAGACCCCTGCTCCACACTGAGGGCTGTGGTAGCTCGGTGCTCTGCGGTTGCACCAGGAAGGACATCCAGCGCAAAAACAATCATCAAGTTTTCTTCTGAGATAGTTCGCTGTGGTGACCCCTGAAGAAGGGAGCAGCTGAGAGAAGAAGAAAGATCAGATAGTTAGAAAACTGCTAACTTAAAAAAAGAAAACAAATAAACAAACAAAAAACAGGTTTATTTCTTATTCTTTATTTCAGATCCAGTTGCTAAAAGATGAAAAAATAAAAAAATACCCCAAACTGTTGCAATATTTGTGAAGGCAACTAGTTTTCATTGTGCTTTGACATGAACTGAGTTACATAATTGTTTGCTTTTTGAGTAAAATATGCAACGACATAATGCTATTTCAAATAAACCTCATCTTAATATGGAGTTAATGATGTTTGGTCGATTTATTAAACATGCAGCCGTACATCTGAGACCTTTGACTTAAGGTGGAACAACTCATTCTGGAGAGAACCCTCCACTGCTACTTCAAAACCTCTGACCTTATAATGGATGCTTAATACCAAGGTGGTAACACCATTAAATCTACATTATAGATGTGGATGTCCCAGTTTTCCAGGATGGTGGTGCCATTTACCCACATGATTTAAAACATTGAATGAAGAGAGATGAACTCAGTGACCTAAAGATGAAAATGGTTTCAGCAAAGAAATCATAGGATGTCAGTCTTGTAGCAAGAAAAAAAAAAATGTGGACACGTTCATTAAAAAAGAAATTCTCTGTAGATTCAACTTTCTGGCACTTGATCCACGAGAGCCCCTAGACATCACCATTGTTCGGTTTGTGTAAACACGAACACTCACTGTCTCACAAATCTTGTCAAGTTATACCGAGGCTTGGTGACCTGTTGGACAGGCTACAGCTGAATGACAAAGTCTGAGATGTTGCGATGTTTGTGTAAAAAAAAAAATAGAAGCAGTATTCGTTTTGTTCTGTCAGAGTTAGCCTGGCTCAGATCTGCAGTCCTTCCCTTCTCGTCTGCTGCAGCTGTGGGCGGTGATGGCTCCAAACGTCCATTGTTTGCCTCGATTTTATATAGTTTCCCTTTGTTCTTGAGTTATAAAGGTTAACTTTGAGAATTAAACAACTATATATGTGTTAAAACTATACAATTGGGACAGAGCACCAACAGTGCCAGTTTGAACAGAGCCACTTCTATTTAAATACAACAAACAGTAATGCTGTCTGCAGTCACTAGACGGTTTTTTTCAGTCAAAACTGAGACCGGGAGGACAGATTTGCAGACTTGGACGCATAGTGTTTCAGCTCACTTCCCCTTTAACAACACAAGTTTCTGGCACTGCTATTTAAGCGCACACACGCCCATGTGAGGACACTTCCAACAAAGACTTGAGTGGGTGAGAGGACAAACGAAAAGGCGGCCAAGGTCAGCGCTTTAGCCCGGTGCCTCTTATCCAACAGGTGTTCAAATCAGAATGGACCACTTTGTAGTTTATCCTAGCAGGATGTGAACAACTGAGGGTAGCTGGTTTTGTGTGGGATATTTTAATCTATAGAGATATGTAGAAAAGTCCTTCCAAGGACATGGAAATAAGACCATTGATTGCTGAAGGATTGATGAGTTGGCCCATACACAGATAACAAGATGTACAAGTCTTGAGTTACAATGGTGGTGTTGTAAAACACGTGTCAAAGTCAAGGCTTGTGGGCCAAATCTGGCCCTCGTTAACATCGTATGTGGCCCTCTAAGATATTTTAAATGTAATTTTTTTAATCGTTTCTCACTTTGCTTAAAAAAACGACTAAATACTTCATTTAGTGAAGACCTCTCAGGACAGCTTGTTAACTTTGAAGCCAGAAAAAAAGGTTGGATTTTTCAGTAATCTTCCATTTTGATGTGGAAAGAGCAACAGAGAACATGAATTAAACTTTTGTTGATGAAACTGCAACCAATTAAACATGACGGCTATCTGACTGGAGTTAATGTGCCAATTGAAATTGGCCCTTGGCTTGGACCAAGTTTTTAATTTTGGCCCCCTTTAGTAACAGAGTTTGACTCCCCAGTAAAAAAAGCAAATATTTCAGCACCCCTAAATGAATTTCACACAAAACACACAGTGAGTCTGCTTTGTGGGCTGGTATCGGCAAATAAGGGTCCGTGTCTGTCACACAAATCCTTTAAAACAGAAAACTGAACGCACATTCAACCCAGATTTGACGTTTCCAACCAACCGTCTAACCTCCACCCAACCCGGTTTTACATCAGACATGACTCCCAACACATCAAATCACACCAGACCTTGTAAATTTGGAAGAAAAAGAAATAATGAGACCTCTGTGCTTTCACATAGCCGCTGGAATGTTGTCTCGTTACTGGATTGGCAACATGGAGAATGTTCTGATGTCTTGCGCAACGTGAAAGGAGAAAAACATTTGTTTTGAGAAAATGAGTGCAGTCATGTTCACAAAAGAGGAGATGATTGAATGAATCAATTACACACATGCTAACTAATGTTATGGAATGTTTTGCCTTCATTCTTATCTTTTACAGCCATCTAGAAAAGAAAGGCTTCATCAGTGCAAGAAAATGAATGTTTAAATGAGTTTGCCAGTTGACTACTTCTCTCTGGTTACTTTTGTTCCTCTAATTTATTGATATTTGTATTAAAACACATCCTAGTCTTCACCTCCTCCCGTCATTTACAAGTTAAGTCTAGTGGGCCATCTGTCTCCTTTTGCTCCTGCGCGTTTAGAAATTTGCTCGTCTTTTAATGCGGAAGAGAGAAAGAACGAATTTTCGCTATTTTGTGTTGACAACACTTTGGGGGCATATTATGTGGATTCCAGCACATTCCACGCCATTGGTCATAATTATTGTCAATCACCTGACTGACGGTGTCGCTCCGCCTACTTGCCTCAGATACGCGCGCTCATTCGTTTAAAAATTAGTCCCGACCAAGTGGTTAGCCAATAGGCTTTAAGGTGGGCGGGACCTATGTGGAGGAACACTCTCTCGCGCCCACAGTGGTAGAATCGAACGTCCCCGAGCGCACACGGCGTAAAGGAGAGTACGGCGCGCGAGTCTGTGGATCGGACATAACGGTTTTCTTTTTGGCCCCCCTTTTCCACCGAAATAACAAGAACCAAGCAAACCTGAGTCCAAGAAGGGCTTAGAGTGTTCTGCGATCAAGGAAGAGGGAAGCGAGGGATAGGAGCAGCAAGTTTCTTTTTTACATTTTCTTTTTTTTCTCTCTCTTTAAAAGGGGATTTTGTGTTGGTTTTTTTTTTCCACGGTGGTTTGTTCTCCGCTCTCGCCGCAAAGATGATGGTCGGAGAGGTCGAAGTGAAGGAGCGACCGAGGCCGAGTCCCGACTATTTGATGCAGTTATTAAACGAGAAGAAGCTCATGACCAGTTTGCCCAATCTCTGTGGCATCTTCACACACTTGGAGAGGCTTCTGGACGAAGGTAAGTTGGGCAGACTTGATGGAGGAGGGGAGAAGAAGCGTGACCACGGCGCAGTCCGATTCTGGTTGGGCGTTTGTTCCTCCTGCTCCGGGCTAGTTGTAACTGACACCCCCATACTGTCGACCATATAAAATATATTTAAAAGTCCTATCAAACAATACACCCTTCTAATATCAATAAATCTAGTTTTACGTTGTTTTCGACCGCAGCGACATGTTGGTATGAGTTACGGTTCGGCGTGCACGCGGACTT